TGGCTCTGTGGCTGTTGATACTTGCGACTCTGCTCCGGGGTGAGTGACTTTCACTGCGCTTTGAGCGAGACTGTGCTCGAACAAGTGTGTGTTTCCTGTTCTGTATGTGCTGTTGCATGTAAAGGTAGCGGATCATAATAACTGGGGACAAAGCAGCTGATTTAGACAAAGAGAGTGGCCACTTGTGCACAGCCGTACAGAAAAATGGATTTATTTTTATGATGAGCCTGCAACACCACGATGTAATCATCTCCACTGCAGATCCCATAGGTTTGGCTGAGGTTTAGATTTTTTAGATGCTGAGATAGATAGATAGATAGATAGATAGATAGATAGATAGATAGATAGATAGATAGATAGATAGATAGATAGATAGATAGATAGATCGTATGTTTTAGTTAGTGTAAATTTGAGTGCATTAATCTCACACCAATTACTATAGCACTTTTCATGTGCTTTTCCATTTTAAGCATATAGTAACTGTTTATAAGTTAGTGTGCCTCCTGTATCCACCAGTGATCCAAATCAGGAGTGATTTGAAGCCCTCTCGGAGTTATAGGGTGAGCAGACAAAGTTGCTGTGTGTGTCTGTCCAGGGTGTCTCAGTGTTTAATGGCCTCAGTATTTTCCGCATGGAATAAAGCTGACATTTTTACAGCAGTAGAAAACTCTGACAGTATGCTGGCGATCAATCAGCGATGTAAGTGATTAGAAAGACTCGGCTTCTTTCTCTGTGCTCTCCCACCCGTTTCTCTTTGTTGCCTATGTTATCGTCTTACATCCTCTCTCGTATAGCTTTGCGCTCCATTTCACCTCAATTTGAGCTTGTCATCTGTCCCTCTCTTAGTGTGCCTCTTCTTCGCTTCTAGCCACCTATATAATTTCTACAGCACTCTACTCTAAACTCTATCATTGTAATCGCACCGTTTTCCTAAAGTGCTAGCTCCCTGCCTTCTTTGACACAGCTTTCTTTTTGTGTCTGACTTTTACCTTGTGCTCTTATGTCTTTATTTATCTCTCTTGCAATTTTCTTTCCGCCCTTCTCCCCTCCCTTACACTCCCTTCCCCTCCCATGTTCAGTATCAATGCAGGGTCCTTACCAACGCTTTCTGCTCAAAGAGCTGCTGCGGGACTACAACCCCATGGAGAGACCAGTGGCCAACGACTCCCACAGTCTCACTGTTCAGTTCTCTTTTACACTAATGCAGGTCATGGATGTGGTACGTTTGGCATGAAACATGCATGCACTACAATCAGACAAAAAATAAAGTCACATTTTCCTCATTTTCCATAATGCATTTTTTTCCCTTTTATAATCAAAAGTTTCATTCCTTTTGAGATAGGGGCACGAATCCTCAGTCTTTCATTTATGTAAATTTAATTTCAGACACTTATTCTGTTTCCCCTGACAGCATGTTCTTGATTAATTTCAGTGCAGGGACAGTCACAAAAAGAGAAAAGTTACTAATGACTTGCATAATATAAAAAACTCTACTTTGGTAGATATCCACATGATTTTCTATCCCGTATGAAAGATTTTAAAAGGACATTTTTACCCGTAAAGGGGATTGTGGACATTTTATATCACATACATAGAAAAGCATAAGAAAGCATGGACGTGAAGAAACCAATTACAAAAGCCAGTAATCATTTAAATATAAAGTCAGTGTACGTTGTTTTAAGACCATTTTGAAACATGTGAGCTCATTCTTTCAAACACGAAATCATTTATTCTCTCATTTTTTTTCTGCCATGCAAGGATGAAAAGAACCAGCTGCTCACCACAAACGCCTGGCTGCAGATGGTGAGTATAATGGATAACATTAATGTAATATTGATCTGTGTCTACCCAAGGCCATTGCAGATGCACAGTATCAACCTAGATGCAAGTTGGATTTTAGTTTATATGCTGCTCAGCAGGGAACAGCTTCTTCCTTCAACCCCAAATATGACCTTATTATGAGTATCTTGAGAATTGGCTGAATCTGGGCCAAACGACTAAGCTGTTTGTCTCATGTCAGCGTTATTTTTTATAACCCATATCAAAGTTTTGCCTCAGACAACTTTACCATCTTCTGCTGAGATAAGGAATTCCCTCTTCACCAGGGAGAAACTTTTCAGAACTGTAACTGTAAAAGAGGAGAGACATACCGTAAAGTAGGGGTGCTAAACATAAGGCCAGTGAGCCAGAATTGGCCAGGCATGATTCCAGTCCCACAGGGTGGATTTAGAAAATGTTAAAGAAGGTGTGAGTTCAGGATTTTTAAGAAAGGCAATTTATACTACACCAAAATAATAAAGTACAGCATAAAGTTCCTCTTCTTTTTAAAATATCTGCTATAAAACAAAATTTAATTTTTTAAACTGGGTCCGCTGTGAAATAAATAAATAAATGAGTTATGGGAACATTTTCATTACACATTTTCTCACAAGCCCCCAAAATCTTGCTGGCAGCTTCCTTTCATTTACTACAGCAGCATTTTTATCATGCAGAAAAACTGAGATGTACTGTGGAAATCACACTTCTTTTTCCTATATCAAGATATCTCAAGGACTTGTTGCACTGACAGAAAGGGGAGTTTCACTCACCCGGCCCACTTAAGATCAATTTGGGCTGTATGTGGCCTATGACCTAAAACGAGTTTGACATTACTGCTGTGAAGGATAAGCTGCTTGTATATCTATTATAGAAATTATAATGGGTGTGTCTTCCTTCAGTTTTTTTTATGTATTTGTGGAAAGTATTTTTTAAATATCATTTTCCATTCATGCAGTTGTAATTGTGTCTCCCAGCAGTGGTACGACCACTACCTTCAGTGGAACCAGTCAGAATATCCTGGAGTTAAGAACCTTCGTTTTACCCCCGACCAGGTCTGGACGCCTGACATATTGCTGTATAACAGGTATGTGACGTACAAATACAGGTGTGTGCAACCAGTGCTGCTGGTAATTGCTGACTGGTCACTGTGCTATTGTCCTTCAGCGCTCATGATAAGTTTGATGCGACTTTTAAGACCTATGTGCTGGTCAACTCCAGTGGTTTCTGTGAGTATTTGCCTCCAGGTACGTTTTAGCAGAGGTTTATATTTTCCTTCAAACCATTTAGACCTTTACGGTCTTTAATCATTCTGCATAATTGCACTATTATTAATGCTGCAGCGTTTCAATTCAAAAAACGTTTACTGCAATTAAATAACTTCGTCTTCCTTTAATTCCACATGGCTGCACCACTGAGCAACATTCATGTTATTATCCAGTGTTTACTTGCTTTTTCTTGTTATTTATGCATTTCAAGGAATTTTTATCAGCACATGTAATGTCGATGTGAGATGGTTTCCATTTGACATCCAGCGCTGTGAGCTGAAGTTTGGCTCATGGACATTTGATGGTTGGCTGCTGGACATCCAGATGAAGGAGGCAGATGTATCAGGATACATGCCCAATGGCGAGTGGGACCTACTGGGTAGGATCAGCTGTCAAAAGCATGGATGATAGACTGTGTTGCTTAGTAACTGTGCTTACATTAACACCATGCAGTATTGCAATTGTAAAGACTCACTTAATGAATACATATTATATATGAGTGCACGTCTGATTTGTTGCCATAGAACCTGAAGAACATGAATGCTTTTTGCTATGATGTTTTATATTTCCATACACGTTTACATCCTGATAAAATATCCCATGCAACACGGAATCATAATTTTTATAGCATCAGTCCTTGGTTTCTACAGTCTCTTAAGGGCTTTTTATCATGCTGGTCCTGTGCCAGATTTTTCTTACATTTCTGATTTACAGTATTGTGCAAAAGTCTTGTATTACTCTTTATTTTTTAAATACTTTGATAGGATAATATTAATTATATGTGCACATATTTTACTAAAACCTGTGTAAAAAAAAAACCCCACCCAGAATATAGTATATATGGTAAAAACCACAGCTTGTGCAATTCTAATGAGCTTCAAAGTCAACCCTTATTCATCAGCATGGCCTGAACTCTTTCTCCGGGAATAATTCTCAAAGCTTCTTGAAGGACATTCAAAGCTCTTCTTTGGATGATGACTGCCTTTTATGATCACACGCTGCTTCAATAATGTTGAGGTCCAATCTCTGGGGAGGCCAATCCATGACTGATAGTGTTCCCATGTGTGTTTTTCTATCCAGGTATCCTTTTACTGCATTGACAGTGTGTTTTGGATCATTTTAATGCTGAAAACTGAGGTTGCTGCCTATCAGATGCTTTCTAGATGGGTTGCATTATGGATCAAATTCTGATAGTACTTTTCTGCATTCATATTTCCATCAGTTTTAACACCACCACTAGCTGAAATGCAGCCACAAACCATGACAGCAGGCTGTGTTTAAAGGATGGCTGTCGAAACTTACTGTTGTACCTCTCTCCTGACCTTGACAATGATTTGAACTTCAAATTTGAAGTCATCCTTCCATCCTGTTGCCACTGATTTTCAGTCCAGTTCTTGTGTAGTTTGGCATACCTCAGCCTTTTTCTCCTTGTCTCCCTTCCTTAAGAATGGATTCTTGACAGCCTCGCTTCCACTGAGGCTTTCTGATGACAGTAGATGCATCAATGGAATGGCCAGATACATCTCAGGCACTGTGTCAGGTCTTTGCTGCATTTTTTTTTTTTTACTGTTTTTTAAGGACATGACTTTCAGATACCGTTCATCTCTGGTAGATTGTTTTTTAGACCTCTCACTTCTTTTTTGTCCTCCACTTGTCCAGTTTCCTCAAATTTAATAAGGACACATTGCCCACCTTGCCCAGATATGCCAAGTTTTCAGCTAATAGTACTTTGGGAATCACCTTGTGGGTGTAAAAACACTATTTTATGCCTGTCAAACTGTTATCTTTGGCATGTTTCCTAGATTGAAATAAAGAAATTTGAACAAATTCATTGTTTTTTGCAATTGGCCGCTAGTGTCTAATAATTTAAAATAGTTCTTAGCTAACTTGTCTGCTGTTAAGTGTAGACACAACACTGGTTCATCCCTTGAGATAGGCACATTTGTTTACACTTGAATGATTCCCGGGTCTGTGTTAAGTGGCTTAACAAACAAAAAAATGTGAAAGACCTTCAGAGAGAGGAGAGAACTATTGCTCATGTCGATTTTTAAAAAAGAATTTAAGAAAGTCTGTTTTCTCGGAAGCAAAATATAAAGAAATGACTCGAGACTGTTGCACAGTATTGGATATACATGCAGCTTTCCCCACACACAATCACAAATATTCAGTGGATGCACCAAAATACATTTCATTAGTTATATTGATTTTCTGATATTCTTTATTTTTTGCTTCCCTGCTTTCTCATCGCTTACGCAGTTACTATATCTCTATGCTTCCTAATTTTTCTCAGAGGTCCCAGGAGGTCGTAATGAGGTTTTCTATGAATGCTGTGTAGAGCCTTACCCCGACGTTACTTTTGTGGTGATGTTACGTAGAAGGACCCTGTTCTACGCTCTCAACCTCCTCATCCCCTGTGTGCTCCTCTCCTCCATGACCCTGCTGGTCTTCCTGCTGCCTGCCAACTCTGGGGAGAAAATCAGTCTGGGTGAGGAATAATAAGTGACCAGGGGAGCAGGGACAAGGCACAGTCTGACAATAAGCAAGGGAGATAATGAAAAACAAGAGGTGAATCTGCTTGTAAGATAAAATATGTTCTCTAGCTGCATATTATTGCTCACTCCTCTTGAGAAGGCAATGGCTTATTTCACTCCAGTGTTTTTCCAGCAGTCTTTCTCTGTTAACAATATTGGAAAACCTTCAGTCAGAGCCTTTGTACAGTGTCAGGAGGGATGTCGTGGTAGGGAGGAAAGACAAAGGCAGAAAAGATGAGAGGGAAGATGAAAAACAGTAAAATCGAATAAGTTTCCCTGGGAGTGTCAGTAATCCAGATGATCATGGCGAGAAGTCAAGTACAGCATACCAAATATACACTTCTACTAAGTTTACTCATGTATTTTCTTCTCTTAAGGGCTTTTTCTTTTTTCTTTTCTTTTTTTTGCAACCCACGACTCCCCGGTGTCTTGTGTTGGCCTCCAGGCATCACAGTTCTGCTTTCTCTGACTGTCTTCATGCTGATGGTTGCAGAGATTATGCCCGCCACTTCAGATTCTGTACCACTGATAGGTCAGGGTTTTTTTTTTCTCGACTGCATGTGAATTTGCATGTCAGTGTTGGAGATTTTGCGGGGTGATAATCCCGTTTATAGCCAACAGATTAGAAGCAAAGTCTCACGTGTGTTTCAGGTCAATATTTCGCCAGCACCATGGTGATAGTTGGGATGTCAGTGGTAGCCACAGTCATCGTCCTCCAGTTCCATCACCATAACCCCGACAGTGGACACATGCCACGCTGGGTAAGTTGCGAGTGTGAGTGAGATATTATACACAATACAATACATATTTATCTGAAGTGTGTTTATGTGTGTGACTCCGTGTTCTTTCATTCGATTTGTATCTGTGTCCGTATCTTTCAGGTGAATTTAGTTCTGCTGCAGTGGGTTCCCTGGTTTCTGCGAATGAAGCGTCCAGGTGAGGGAGTGGAGCCTACTCTTTCCAACAGTCAGGCAGACTCCCAAAGCAAGACCCTGTCCTCTCCAACCACCACCACCACCACCACCATCCCCACACCAGCGCCCTCCGTCCTCCCACAGGGCCTGAACTCCTTGCAGGCCAGCCTGGCACAGCTCAACCTCCCTTTGCCACACTCACTGCCTCACCGTCCAAACTCTCAGGCTATCATCCTCCCTAATCCCATTCACAGAGATCCCAGTCCCAACCCACAACCCCAGCCTAATGGACATCTGCCTTACATGGGATTCCAGACCTTCCACACCACAGCAGAGCTGCAACCGATCCAGAGAAACAGAACCACCAGTCATGGTAGGGGTAACAGTGAACTAGGAGAAGGAGAGGGAGCAGGAGCAGGAGGGGGACCAGTCAGCGATATACCACTTCATCACCAACACCAATCTTCTAAGTTTGTGAGCCCCACACAGGAACTTCCAGTGTGCCTGGACCCTGACCAATCAACCACAGCTTCTGGAGTCTGCGGCTTGGAGGCTGGGACTGGGAGATCAGCTGTGTTGCATGCCCACAGTGGGATGATTCGATCTGTGGCAGTGGACAACCAGCTGCAGGCTCTTCTGGCAGAGGTGCAGTTCTTAGTTGAACGTGTTCGTGAGCAGGACCGTCAGTTGAGCTTGGCAGAGCAGTGGCAGTTTGCCGCGGCAGTCATCGACCGGTTGTGCCTGGTTGGATTCAGTGTTTTCAACATTATCTGTACCATCGCTATCCTTATGGCTGCACCCAACTTTGGAATAGCACTCTCGAAAGACTTCCTCTAAGAGGCAAAAAAAGACATTTGATAGACCAAGGAGGTGTTAAGAGATGACACAGATACGGATGTGCTGGAAGCACAATTGCTCTCTAAGACAGTCGGAAGTAAACAGCGAGTATTTCATGGACCGTGACGCGTCAGTTTCGTCCTTTATCCTGTATACTGTAGACCTCATCATGCCTCCAACACTGTTACAGTGCTTTGTTTCATTATTTAATGATGGTTTGTGGACTAACTAACATATATTTAGTCTAGAAATAAATGCTTTTTGTGAAATAGACGCCTTAAAGATAGTTATCCCACAGCCTGACTTTATTAAATTTGTAAAATAGGATTACAGCTGCCCAGTCAAGAGAAACTAGACAAAGAGGTTTTAAAGCAGAACTTATGTAAGAGTTTAAAAGTTCAGGGTTGCATCAAGCCTAGCTTTGTGTAATGAGTATCAGTGAAAACGGTTATTTCTTAAATCTGCAGTGCCCATATTTTGTTAACAGTATCACAGTGATGTATGGGTTTCAATTGAATTCATTTTCTTTCAAGGTTTTCTTTTAGAAGGATGTCTGCCTGCAAAAAATGTGATGAATCAGAGGCGCTACGGATGAACTTCTGCATCTTCTTTAGCAACTGTGTTTGCTTGAGATGGTAGTGAAGTGCTAAAAAACACATCTCGCATACTGTCAAGGGAATATTTTCTGTCTATTGCATTTTAGTTTCTGTAAACTTACACACTTCATCGACGTGATGTTTCAAACATGCCCTCTGTTTATCGTTAAGGAGGATGCTTTTTGATTATCTATAAGAGCTTACTGCACTGAAAAGAAATGTTTCAAAACTCCTTATTTTGTTCATGATTTGTAATATTATAGTTTATCTGCTCTGGTGTCAGTAAAATTCAGACTGCAAAGGAAGAATCGATGATCAGTCATGTAAATTTCCCAAGGCTTTTATTTAATTACATGCACATACTCTCGCTCAGCTATTGCCACGCTCGCGCTGTTGTGTATGCAGAAAAATGCAGTCCCTGTGATTGTGATTTTTAATGTAATGTATGATGTTGGACACTTTATTACCAGGGCTGTGACAGACTGAGCTGTAAATAATGGCAGTAGAAATAAACAATCTTGTCTTTTGTATTCTCTACACATGCATCAAATTTTCAGTCTTTTCGCTCGTTCGTCTCCTCCCAGTCCAAGTTTTCAAAGCGACATAGGAACAGAGGACAGGGGGAGTGAAGGAGAAGGGGAACAGCCAAAGAGGAAAAGGGAAGATAGAGGTAATGAAGCACAGCAATAGAGAGGGCAAAAGGAAAAAAGAGAGGGCGTCGCAGGAAGGGAGGGCTTTGCAGAGAGACACCGACAGAAAGGACGCAGAATGGAAGAGACGACGAATAGGACAAGGTGGTCTCATGACTTGGTTGAGAGAAACAGAGGAGGGAGCAAAAAAATGTGCTGAGAAAGCGGCAAGAGACCAATAAAGTTTTTTAACTGATTGCTCGTTAATGAGACAGGGGAAGGAAGAACGTGAAGAACAAACGTTCCCTCCTCCTCCCTCTCCTCTATACTGCTGCTGAACTGTACTGTGTCTAGCATTTATGGGTGACTTGATGTTTATTCAGAACTGGAAGAGGATGTCCTCACTGGAATTTATGTGATGATCTTGGCAAAAATTCTCGTTTAAAATGATTGACTGGGAAATAATGCAAGCACATTATGAGGATTGAATTTGGCAAATTGGTGTCTTGGCACAGCCGGACTCGCACCTTTACCCCGAGGCTATTAATTTGACTTGTCCTCTATGTGCTGTAGGCTAGTTCACTATTGGAGAAATCTCTGTGTATTTCAACGGCCTACTAAACTCCTTTTGTCTGTAAAACTGGGCTGCTGAGAGATGCACTACAGCGCAGGTAATAAATCTGAGATACTCTCCTCCTTCACTGGTTCTTTCCTCCACCTGCTTTGTGTCGACAGCTCATGCAGATCTGTTTATTGGGAGGAGATGCACACTGAGTCATCCAAACAGACGAGCACAATGCAGCGGGATGCAGAAGACGCGTCGTGTCTATCAAGGGGCCACTGCAATCTGTGGCTGCAGCTGTCGCGCGTACCTGCGCGCGCACACACACATCCACAGATACCAAGAGCAGCGCAAACACAAACCCACGCACACATCGAGTGGTAAAGTAAGGGCTCTGCTGCAGACCTAATGCAGTAACCACTCATGGTCCTGAAGCTGTCTCTTTCTGTTGCTTCAGATCGCTTCCACACAAACTGTTCACTTACGGCTGCTTGTGCAGTGCTCTCGCTTTGCAATTTTTTTGCTTATGTGGGAAAAATAAGGCAGAGAGACAATCTAAAAGGATGGCGTAATCGCTGAAATACCATTTTGTCTTGTATTTTAATGAGGTTTAATTGATCAAAATGTGAAAAAGCTGCTGAAATCAAATAAGCTGAAACTTGTTTTTATAGTTCACTCACTTGCCAATCAGCTTTTGCCACAGTCAGCATGACAAGCAGGAGCTGTCAGGTTGCCAGCCCATAATAGGTTTTCCACAGAAGCTCACTCCTTCTTACTTAGATGTAAACTGAAGAAACCCACCAGTGCAGCGAGAATATGCAATATGCACACACACACACACACACACACACACACATACACACACATACACAGACTTAGACAACCGAGACAGTAAGGGGGATCACTCAGCCACTGTAACAACACTCATCTATTAATATTTTAACTCTAAAGTGTTGAATTTTATATATCAAAATTTATCTATAATTCAGAATGTACATTTAGTGGCCACTTCATTACGTACACCTTGCCTTTACTGGGTTGGACCTCTTTTACCTTCAGAGCTGCATTAATTCTTAGCGGCATAGAATTAACAAGGTGCTGGAAACACTCCTCAGAGACTTTGGTCCATATCGATGTGACAGCATCACACAGTTGCTGCAGATTTGTCAGCTGCACATGCATGATGTGAATCACCTATTCCAACACGTCAGAAAGGTGCTCTATTAGATTGAGATCTGGTGACTGTGGAGACAGTGAACTCATTGTCATGTTCAACAAACACGAGATGATCTGAGCTTTGTGACATTGTGTGTGAACCGGCTGGAAGCAGCCATGAGAAGATGGTCATAAAATATCATTACACATCATTACACCACAGGCAGCACCCAGAACTGTGGATACAAAGTAGGATGGATTCACGATTTGATGGTATTTACACCAAATTCTGACCCTAAAATCCAAATGAGTGCTGCTGTAGCTCATCTACTTCATGTGGTGCCCTCAGAGATGCTCTTCTGAACACCTTGGTTGCAACAAGTGGTTATTTTAGTTACTGTTGCCTTCCTATCAGCTCAAAGCAGTCTGGCTCTTTTCCTCTGAGCTCTGGTATCAACAAGGCATTTTCACTGGATATTTTCTCTTTTTCAGACCATTCCCTGTAAACCCTAGAGTTGGTTGTGTGTGAAAATTTCACTAGATCTGCAGATTCTGAAATACTACCAGCCGTATCATCCTCCAATTTTAAGACGTCATTTCGTTCACTGAAATTTGGACTTAAAAAACTGAACTATCACTGAAACTAAGCAATTTAGCTAAATACCTAAGTGACTCTTTCCATTATATGTCACCAGTCATCAGAGCCATCATATTATGTGGGTGGGATGTATCAGGGTTGTGAGATACAAGTGCTTACCCATTAAAAGTAAGTTTTTCAGGCCTGCTGGTGAATATTTTACAAAAGGTGATCAAACCTTCAGAAACAGCTCACCTTTTTATTTTAGGCCAGCCTGTAATCTTTCATGCTGGAGGCCATTAAAAAGCTCCCCACAACAGAGAACAACACTTGGCACTGCTCCAGCTGTGCAAAAAACATTTCCAAGCAATCAAAAGAAGCTTCACAACACGTTTGTGGTGTGTTGCAAGCAGGGAGACGCAATTCCTTGGAGGGAAGATGAAGAGAGAAGCGCTTGGGTCTTTTTATGTTTTTATATCAAAATGACAACTAATTTCACATGCAATAAATGCACAGAAGCTGAAAATGAGTTTACACTCCCATCAGCAGTGGATCTACTATTAGAATAAAGCTTAATTATTTTGTGAAGTGTCTTTCTCAGAAACTAATCAGCACTCAGGTCTGAATACTTCCATCAGGTCTCTCAGGACAGATTTTCAGGCCAAAGATTTTAGCTTTTCAAAATTCACCCATTCCAAGATAATTTTCAGTCACCACCTCACCAGCAGCAATCAATACCTATTAATTACTGGGTGCAGACACTTGATGCAGGTCGATATGTAACGGCTATCTCGCTGCCTATTGGGTAATTGTCTCCCAGATCTCATTATAAGATGCTGGAGTTGGGGAAAGAAGAGGAAGCCGGTGAGGAGAGAAGAGGAAAAGAGGAAGAGTGGAATAAAGACACGGGTACAGGTGTAAAATCAACTTTATAGGAGAAATCTGGCTCTGCCCACTGTGGGGATTGTCTGTTACTTTGTGATTTCCGCACTCCTTGACTCAGCTCCAAACACACAACGTTAGTTGCAAATAAACAAGAACCAACTTTGCATCAATAAATCGGTTTATTTAAAAGAATATGTTACAATTTATTACAGTAAGCGATGTAACCAAACACTTGCTTAAATTTTACATTTCGACATGTCAAAGGCTCTGTAGGTTGTCATTCTCCATCCCCTTCTTAGTGTGACGCTCATCAGCTGAATTTAAAATCGAATCTAACTGTACGTGACATCTAACTTCAGTCAGCATGAGAAAGTGTGTGCACGTGTGTGTGTAGGGGAAATGGGTGGATGGGTGAGCCCACGGGCTTGAAGGTGGGCAGATCAGGCGATGCCAGACAATCGACTGTGTCAGACATGGTTCAGTAAGCAGACACGAATCCTGGGGAAATGTGTTCAGCCTTTAGGACTGCACATTCAATCTCTCAATTCAAGGCTCAACACATTCAATTAAACCTCCTTTCTACCCTCACAAAGGTG